TGCCTCCACCAGTGTATGAATGTGAGAGTGAATGAATAGTGGTATTGTAAAGCGCTTTGGGTGCCTTGAAAAGTGCTATATAAATCCAATCCATTATTATAACTTAATATAATAAGCTCATTATAGTCTACTTAATTTTCTATTATGCTGGAAGTCAGAAACTCCCTGATCTGTGTGTTACCAGTATTAGTGAAATGGCCTGCAAAACTACAGTTACAGTACAGTAACTGTACAGTTACATTAAGGTAGCCCTGTAATGACAGGGCTACCTTAATGGTTCACACCAACTTTACAAGCAATTGTCACAAGGTAACAGTACAAAGATTATGACGCAAATCGCACAATCTTAATCAGTAATAGTAATAATAATAATGGATTGGATTTATATAGCGCTTTTCAAGGCACCCAAAGCGCTTTACAATGCCACTATTCATTCACTCTCACATTCACACACTGGTGGAGGCAAGCTACGGTTGTAGCCACAGCTGCAGTAACATCCTTTTTACAGCTAACTGTTGATCTGACACAGCTACACATTGTCATTGATAACAATGACTAGGAAAATTGCTCAACATCTAATTTTATTGATGTGTCATATTACAGAAACACTTATATGGTTTAAGAACTACAATATACTACAGAAATACATTGGAGAGTATCGCCCTGACTGCCTGCCAAGACTACACTCAGTACTAACAAAGAAAAATGTAGCTCTACATGGTTCTACTCAATGGAACAAGAGAACCATTATCAGAAATAGAAAAAACACTGGATATAGAAACAGTTTCATGATAATGGTATTTTTATTAATCACCATGACAATGGTAAATTTTTACAATTGGAAGCATTCCAAGACAAATTTTACATACAATATTCTTATTGTCATTACAAATTGATCAAATACATGACTTCTCACGAGAAACAAACAAACAAACAAACAAACAAACAAACAAACAAAAAAAAAAAAGGGGGTGGGGTCGGTGACAACAATATAATCTCTAATAAATGTTATAAATATGAGAAATGGCCAATACCTCCAAAACACAGACACTTTTCCAATTCCAATTCAGTTTTATTCATATAGTTCCAAATCAAAACAGCAGTTGCCTTATTGTAAGGTAAAGATCCCACAACCCTATAATAACACAACAGAGAAAACCCCAAAAAGCTTGCTCAACAACCCCTTATGAGCCAGTGCGTTGACAACAGTAGGAAGGAAAAAAACTCCCTTTTAACAGGAAGACACCTCCAGCAGAACCAGGCTCACAGGGGGCAGCCATCTGGCCCCCTGACCAGTTAGGGTAAGGGGAAGAAGACAGGGAAAGGACAAGCTATTGAAGAGAGCCAGAGATTTATAATAAATAATAACGAAATGCAGAGGTGTATAAACAAAGTGAAAAGGGCAACTGAAGAAGAAACACTCAGTTTCTTCTACAATTTTGACTGCATTTGCTCATGGGAACCTCCCAGCAGCCTAGACCTTGCAATGTAACTAAGGAAATATTTAGGATCACCTGATCCAGCCCTAACAATATGTTTATTAAAAAAAGGAAAAAAAAATATTTTGAGTCTAATCTTAAAAGTAGAAATAGTGTCTGTCTCCTGAATCCACAGAAGAGGGGCCTGAAAACTGAAGGCTCTGCCTCCCATTCTACTTTTAAATACTGAAGGAACCACAAGTAAGCAGTCTGAGAGCAAAGTGCTCTAATGGGGTGATATGGTGCTATAAGGCCATTAAGATGGGACCTGATTATTCAAGACCTTGTGTTCAATTCTAGGTTCAGTTTAAAATAATCTTAATAACTGTTATTCAGCTGCTGAGACTCTAAAAAATGTGGTTTAAAGTTTGTTTGTTTTTTTGGTTTTTTACTGTTAATGCTATCCTTTCAGATTTTAACATAAGACTTAGGTGTTATAAAACTGAAGATTTAAACAGTTTTAGATACATTATACACTCTCAAAGCACTTTGTTTGAATAAAATGTTAGATTGAAAAACACAGCAGCAGAAGGTTTCACAGAAGTGTGATTACTTCTTCTAATTTTATAACATGATCCAGAGTCCACATAATCAACAGATTCACCCTGGAGGCAGGGCCAAGGCGGTTCTCTGGGTCCAAAGGTTAGGAGAAGCTTCATGCTTATTATTTTATTTTTTATTATTTTATAAATCACACCTGTCCTGTGCCAGATGTTCTGTTGACCCACTGAGAAAGACATTATTTTTGTGACATCAGGAGGACTGACGCTCATCGCAGGGATCAAACAGGACTCATAATCTTCACCAGCAGCTCCCTCAGAGGGAAGTCTTCAGACCTCCACTATCTGCTCGGCCAATAAGATGGACAAACCCAACATGTCATGAATAGTGTGTTCATCAAGAGTGAACACATAACATGATTTTTCTGTTGTTGTTTTCTGGGTGGTGCTGAGGGCGGCTCCTGTAATCACAAGGAGAAAAGAATCATTACAAACTGTAAAATGTGAAGTGTATCTCTCAAATCTGAAATAAAGTGGTCAGAATTCAATGGTGGTCACCTGCAGGAAAACAAGAGACAAACACACATCATTAGCATTGTTTGAGCTGCTGCCCGAGTACTGGACAACATATTAACCTCCTAGGACCTGGCGTCCACATATGTGGACATCACATTTTGGGTTATTTAGACCAAAATACTTAATTTTGCTCTACAAGGGCCTGATATCCACTTACGAGGACATTATACTGCTACTGTTCTATCAACATTTTAAACGAATATCCTCATATGTGGCTCTCATTTTTCTTAGGAACAAAAATATGGTTAAAAAAAATAATAATCTGGTAATTCTTTGTTTTTACATTCATGAGAACCCAATCAGCCCAAATATCAAAGAGAAATTAAAAATGCCTGCCGTGGAAGAGTTCGGGTCTTAGGAGGTTAATGCTTCACATCATTTCTCTCTAGCGATATAACATGTACAGAGTACTGAACATTTAACTTTGTGAACAACACCTAATTAAGAACCTAATTTTGCCCTTTTAAACAAGAACACTTGAAACAAACTCTGTTGAGAAAAAAAAAAACAAAAAAAACAACATCTCTCTCACTCTCTCTCTCCCCCTTTCAAACCTGTGGGCGGTCTTTATCCTTCAAGCTCAGGTCATCTACCAGAGGCTTATGAGCTTGAGGGTCCTGCGGAGTATCTTTGCCGTTCCTAGGACTGCTCTCTTCTGGACAGAGATATTAGATGTTGTTCCAGGGATCTGCTGGAGCCACTCACCTAATTCCTGACAATTGCTGCATTCCGTAGTCAGTATCCGTAATGATCTCACTGAGGGGGTTCAGGCCTATGCAGAACAGCAGTGGGTAGATCCCGCACTTGATGGTGACTTGGGCTATAGATTTGAAGTTGGCTTCTAGTGTTGTTTGCCACATCACCAGTGAGTTCCTGATGAAGGCTGTTAGGGTCCTGTTGATCTTGTACAATTCTAGGAATTCCAGGATCCAAGTGTGAGCCATCAAGTCATAGGCCTTCTTATAATCAATCCAGGCAGTGCACAGGTTAGTCAGCCTAGTCTTGCAGTCTTGGGCAACTGCTCTGTCAACCAGTAGCTGGTGTTTTGCTCCTCTGATACTCCTACCAATTCCTTTATGTGCCCCGCTGATGTATTGACCCATGTGCCTGCCAGAAGCCTCCACGTGGTACTGACGCAAGTTATTAGCCGGTGGTTGGATGGGACTGATCCTTTGGTTCATTTGTGTAGTTAGGCACTCACTGACAACCTACTGGCTTCTTCAGCCAGTGGGTGTGAACCATGCTGGGGCCTGGTGGCAGTCCAACTCTTCATACTGGAGACCCTTTTCTTAAATGTCTGCCACTGTGATGGTTACTGGACCCTGTTCAGGGTTAGTGCAGTGGTCTGCTTTTAGATTTACAAACCACTGAGCATCGCCGTTATGTGTTGCGTCCTTCTCTCGTATGCTCTTCCTGTATTACTCAGTCTCCAGCCTTGGTGGTGCTGTTCTCATATTGTTCCCCTGCCACTGAGAGCACACCTTGGATTGTTCTGTGGGGAACAGCTAGTTTATTCTCCTGCCTTCTATTTCTCAGCTGCTCGGCATGTAACATGCGGCACATAGAGGAAGTGGCTGACTTCCAAATGACATAGCATTTGGGTGGTACCTCATTAATCTCTAGCCGTGAGAGCAGTTCCTTCTTCCAAATGTTGGAACACTGAGCTAATAGTTTCGCCATCAATCTGGATGCTGGGTATGGAAAATTCCATAGGTCCCTCATCCATTCATGCAACCCTTTCCGCTGGGTTTACTTATGTAGCAGCTTCCAACAGCGCCCTATTTTTGTCTCTTGCCCACTTATTTTGTCTTGTTCCACTTGTCATCTGTGTGTCCTGGTTACTCAACACCTGACGCGGACCTTGTTAATCCAGGCGACAGATCAAAGACGTGAGGAAGGTGGTTGGCCAACTATCGGAGCTACAGAAAGGGGAAATTAAGAAGCTGCCCAAGAAGTATAGCAAGCTGCCCATAACAGAGGCCTTAGAAACTGCCAAGCAAAAACTGAGCCTTTTCCAGCCGCTTCAAGAGGGTTAGGATTAGAGAAATAGAAGGCAGGAGAATAAACCAATGTCAATGTCAGGGGTAAATGGTAAAATGGCCTGTATTTATATAGCGCTTTTCTAGTCCCTAAGGACCCCAAAGCGCTTTACATATCCAGTCATCCACCCATTCACGCACACATTCACACACTGGTGATAGCAAGCTACATTGTAGCCACAGCCACCCTGGGGCGCACTGACAGAGGCGAGGCTGCCGGACACTGGCGCCACCGGGCCCTCTGACCACCACCAGTAGGCAACGGGTGAAGTGTCTTGCCCAAGGACACAACGACCGAGACTGTCCAAGCCGGGGCTCGAACCGGCAACCTTCCGATTACAAGGCGAACTCCCAACTCTTGAGCCACGATCGCCCGGGGAACAGTATGAGAACAGCAGCAAGGCTTGAGACCGAGCAATACTGGAAGAGCATATGGGAAAAGGACGCAACACATAATGGCAATGCTCAGTGGCTGGTGGATCTAAGAGCAGACCAAAACCCTCCTGAACAGGGTCCAGTAACCATCACAGTGGCAGACATCCAAGAAAGGAGTCTCCAATATAAAGAGTTAGACAGCACCAGGCCCTAACATGAGTCACTCTTACTGGCTGAAGAAACTGACTGCACTCTATGAGAATCTAACAGTGCAAATGAAGCAGCTGCTAGTCAAGACACTTACAATGGCTAACTGAAGGCCGGACAGTCCTGTTCCCCAAGGATCCTTAGAAGGGTCCAGTTCCATCAAACTACGGGCCAATACCCTGCCTCAGTACCCCATGGAAGCTCCTGTCAGGTATAGGGCTGGGCCATATTATACAGTTCACGGTAATACTGGTATAATGTTGGGCAACAGTAAGAAAATGAAATATTGCGATGGGTATATGGGTAAAACGCGCATGAGCAGTGCCTTTGTTTTAGCAGGCTTATGCCTTGGTTATGCTGAGGATATGTCGGCCAATTTCCACTGGAAATGCCTTTTGGTTAAACTGTCAGCAAGGAATTTGCATTTGCACTGTTAAATTTTTAATAAAAAACAGCTGGGTGGAGTGCCCACTCCGGGTCGGGGATGAGTTCCTGCCCCAAGTGGAGGAGTTCAAGTATCTCGGGGTCTTGTTCGCGAGTGATGGGAGAAGGGAGCCGGAGATCGACAGACGGATTGGGGCTGCAGCTGCAGTAATGCGGACGCTGCACCGGTCCGTCGTGGTGAAGAGGGAGCTGAGTGTAAAAGCGAAGCTCTCAATTTACCGGTCGATCTACGTCCCTACCCTCACCTATGGCCACGAGCTGTGGGTAGTGACCGAAAGAACGAGATCGCGGATACAAGCGGCAGAAATGAGCTTCCTCCGAAGGGTGGCTGGCCTCTCCCTTAGAGATAGGGTGAGAAGTTCGGCCATCCGGGAGGGGCTCAGAGTAGAGCAGCTGCTGCTCCACATCGAAAGGAGCCAGCTGAGGTGGTTCGGGCATCTGACAAGGATGCCCCCTGGGCGCCTCCTGGGTGAGGTGTTCCAGGCATGTCCCACCGGGAGGAGGCCCCGGGGCAGACCCAGGACACGCTGGAGAGATTATATCTCTCGGCTGGCCTGGGAACGCCTTGGTATTCCCCCGGACAAGCTGGAGGAGGTGGCTGGGGAGAGGGAGGTCTGGGCCTCTTTGCTTAGGCTGCTGCCCCCGCGACCCGACCCCGGACAAAGCGGATGACGATGGATGGATGGATGGAAAAAACAGCTGCTTGTTTAAGTAAAAATACATTGATGTTTGTTTGGTTTTTTTTGCACTAATAAAGTTGTGGAGTTGTAAAATATTTTGTCTAGTGTCAATTATATCATCAGTTATATCGTTATCGCAAATTTTCAAATGTATATCGTGATAAATATTTTTGGTCATATCGCCCTGCTCTAGTCAGGTATCATTAGTAGCTAAAATGAATAGGCATATGGCTCAACACATGAGAGGGGGCACATAAAGGAATTGGCAAAGCTACTGGCAGACAGAACAGTTGTGCTAGACTCCAAGACCAGGTTCACCAACCTGTGCACTGCCTGGATTTATTATAAGAAGGCCTATGACTCGATGCACCACAAATGGATCCTGGCATGCCTAGAACTGAACAAGATCAACGGGACCCTAAGCAGCCTTCATCAGGAACCCAATGGGCAGATGTGGCGTAAACATGCTAGAGGCCAACTTCAAGCCCATAGCCCAAGTCACCATCAAGTGCGGGATCTACCAAGGAGATGTTCCAGTTCTGCATAGGCTTGAACCCTCTCAGTGAGATCATTATGGATACTGACTACAGAATGCAGCAATTGTCAGGAATTAGGTGAGTGGCTCCAGCAGATCCCAGGAACAGCATCCAATATCTCTGTCCAGAAAAGCGAAGTCCTAGAAACGGCAAAGATACTCCGCAGGACCCTCAAGCTCCCAGGCCTCTGGTAGACTATGGAATGCAGCAATAGCAATGCAGACATAGAAGCCACTGTCATCAAGACATGGAAGCTCCTTACCATGCATGTAGGGTTTCACCCCAAATCTAGCACCCTGAGACTGTACGCCTAAATAGAAGGAAGGTATGCCTAAGAAGGAAGGAGGCCGAGGACTAGTGAGTGTCAGTACCACAGTCCAGGACGAGACAACGAATATCCACAACTAGGGCTGGGCCATATTATACCGTTCACGGTAATACCGGTATAATGTTAGGCAACGATAGGAAAATGAAATATCGCGATAGAATATGAGTAAAACGCGCATGCGCAGTGCCTTTGTTTTCATACGCACATGGCCGATTGTTGAGTGAAACAGATGAACCAGAATTGGTTTTGTAAAAATGGTGCAACTTCAGTGATGTGGAACTGGTTTGGTGTTTGTCCGTCAGATACACGACAAAGCACATTTTTTTGCAGAACATGCAAGCGGCCGTCGTTATTGTCGTATTTGTCGGACTAAGATGCTCTTAAATCTGGGAGTAATCTGGGTCCTAAACTCCGTATCTTCAGGTCAAACAACACTGCAGCATCACTGAGAGTTAAAAACTGTCTAAATTCTTTCATCTTTAATAAAACGATCAGCATTGCTGCTTTACCAGGTGTAACTATGAAGTTTAACTTCCAGGCATCCATGAAAACAAAAGTTATTACATTTAACGGAGTTAGAAGTTAGCAGGAAGCTAGCGGAAGTTAGCTCGCTAGTTTCGCTAGTTACCTAAGCATGATATGCATGTTCTGACTGAGAGATTTCTGAAAAATTCAAACGTACAGCTCTGCTATCACTTCCAACATAAATGAAGACAGGAAACTAAACAGCAGTGACGTTTGTAGGGTTACTGAAGTTGGGCTAGCTGGTATATAATGATGTGCTACGTGATCGCTAGCGACACAGCTATGTTAGCATAACATAAACAGTGAAGCTGGAGGACGAACACTAACACTTTTCCACTTATAAAAGTTAACGTTGTCCTGATGGTTAGAGACAAATGCAATCGCATGGCAGGATGCTGTAAACGGACCAAACTTCAGTCAGGAGAACAACTGAGATAATCCATCCACAATACGAGGTTAGTCATTAATATACTGCAACAACATGGGAATAGAGCAGCTGCCAGAGAATTCAACATTAATGAATCAATGGTACAGAAGTGGAGGAAGCAAGAAGAATGAGTTTAATAAAGTTTGATTTATCTGACTGCTTTGTTTCGCTTAATGTGCCTTATAATCCCGTGCACCTTATGGTCCGAAAAATACGTACTGCACACTGCAGTTTAATGTTGCAAAGCACCTCTTTTTAACTTCAGTGGATATTATACATGGTTATGCTCAGGATATGTCAGCCCATTTCTACTGGAAATGCCTTTTGGTTAAACTTTCAGCAAGGAATTTGCATTTGCACTGTTACATTTTTATAAAGCTTTAATGTACATAAAAACCAGCTTCTTGTTTAAGTGAAAATAAATGAAGGTTGTCTTTTTGCGCTAGTAATGTTGTGGAGTTGTATTTTGTCTCGCATCAATTATATCGTCAGTTATATCGTTATCGCAAATTCTCAAATATATATCATGATAAATATTTTTGACCATATCGCCCTGCTCTATCCACAACTACACCAGAAAGATGGCCACCACCAATGTGCTCAGTGAATACCTCAGGCAACAGAAACCTAAGAAATGGGAGCAAGAGGAGGAACTATCATGGAGTCTCTAACACAACAAGCAAGCCCCCAGGTACAAGGCTGTGTATAGATACCCCTGCTTTCCTATTATAATCCTGTTTCTTTTAGTTTGTGAACATCAGCTGTGTAAGACACAAACGGAAATCAGAAACTGGGACTGATTTTACAGGCTGTATTGTGAGAACATTTTCGATCTTCAGTAATTCTTCTTCTGTTAAAACTGAATGAAATCCATCAATGAGGGTTTAAAGTGCATTTTCTTTTATTAATTTGGTGTTACTGTCATTACAGATGTAAGGGAGACACAAAAATGCTGCCATTTGCATATATTTTATAATCAGCTCTCCAAAAGAACTGAAGGAGAGTCTAACTTGTTGCTCTTACAGAATAATACTCATAAAAAGTACAGTAACTGTCATGTTAGTTAGTGACTGAGCAGCTAGAGTGGCATTTTTCCATTGCTCTTATAAACAGTTTTAGTGCCTGATCTTCAGCTGCAGGTCTGAACATCTTTCCATTGAGTACAGCAGCAGAGCTCTGACTGTACAGCACTGACTTTAATGTACATTCAAGCTCAGAGTGACTTGTTTAGTCAAGGTATATTCATTCACATGCACGGATTAGCTACCAAACACGGCTTTCCCCAACAGATGACTGCTCAACTAAGCTAGCTATCTCAGGATGTTAATTTCTGATTATCTTACAAACACACATTCAACTTACCGAAAAAGTGCAGTTAGGCCTCTGGTCCTTCTGTCGGTTAATCCAGTTTACTGCAGAACACCTCATGCTGTCAGTTTGAAACAGTCGTGGTTTTGGAAAGTAAATCCTGGCCCTCCTCTCCGCGTCCTGGCTCTATCAGCCATTCCCGATTAGATATAGGCAAGTTTCTCTGTAACAACAGTTGCCAGTCAAAGCTGTCATGATGACGTTGACCCCAATAACAGCATTAAGTTATTAACTAGAATCCAACCTGTGAGAAAGGAGACCCCTTGAACAATGAGAATTACTAATAATGGCATAAAGCATCTTTGTGAAAAATCTGATAACATGGAGGAGCCAGGGTTTATGACCTATACTGGAGCCAGACACCAGGGGACAAGCTGTTAGGTCGTCCATGTTTTGTACAGTTATTGGTTGAAAACACTGACTTCAAATTCATATGTTTCATGGGTCATTATTTTAATTGGCTGGAGAAGAGACAGCAGGGTGACATTTACAGCTGGGCAACTTGAACAGGTAAAGCAAATATGCACTGTAGCCTGGAACAAGAGGTATGCCTACAGGAAGCAAAGATTAAAGGAGTGAATAAATAATCGTTGACTAATAAAAATTATTAGTGGCACGGTGGTTAGCACTGTTGCCGCACAGCAAGAAGGTCCTGAGTTCAATTCCAACATCAGGCCGGGGTCTTTCTGTGTGGAGTTTGCATGTTCTCCCCGTGTTTGCGTGGGTTCTCTCCGGGTACTCCGGCTTCCTCCCACCATCCAAAGACATGCAGCTTGTGGGGATAGGTTAATTGGATAATCCAAATTGTCACTAGGTGTGAATGTGCGAATGAATGTGAGTGCGAATGGTTGTCTGTCCCTGTGTGTTGGCCCTGCGACAGACTGGCGACCTGTCCAGGGTGTACCCCGCCTCTCGCCCTATGACAGCTGGGATAGGCTCCAGCACCCCCCGCGACCCTGAAAAGGACAAGCGGAAGCGAATGGATGGATGGATGGATGGCTGGATGGATGGATAATAAAAATTAACTGACAGATTAGCCACAGACTGACTACCAAAATAATCTTTACGTGAATATTAGAGAATATAGAATATTAGAGTATTTAGAGAATAAAATAATTAATTGCCTTTTATTTATGGGAAAATGCTGACAGTTCTAAACAAATGCAATACCATTATTGCCATTTTCAAATAAATGCATTAAACTAAGCACTCTTTACAGTGTGAATATGTTCTATATAGCATGGCTGTAGTCTTGAAGGTTGAGTCTCCTTGCAGGAATCAATAAACTGGCAGTCGAAGTGAAAATCTGCTGGATGGGGGAAAAAAACCCAGTCTAATTCTAGAAGCCTCAGCTTTCCTCTTGATTATAGTCCTCTAAGAGGAATTATTGCCATTACGGAACTGCAAGCCTGACCTGAAGTGTATAGTAAATAAAACCACTATTTACAAAAGTCAGTTTTAACCTTTGGATGAGTAAAGCTCCTTGTATGGCAGCAGTGATGCTTCACTGACCTACAGAGCCACTTAGATTGAATAGAGACATGTAACCAGGACAGATTTAACTCTTTGGGTGACCTGGTCCCCATTCAATTTGTCATAGAAGCAGTGATGTTGCTTATGCTATGATGTTGCTTATGCTATATGAAAAAGACAGTCCATGCTTTAACGTTCTACTTACGAGGGCCAGCAAATCAGAATAAAGTTAACTGAAAGGGAGGAAGACATCTAGAAACTCTTTGTTTCAGATATTTGATAAACTCAGAGGGGTCACTGAGGTACACCATTAGACAAATGAAGATCATCTGAACTGTGAATAATGCAAAGCTATTAATGTATCCAAGCATAAACATACTGTACTCTTCTGGATGAAGATTTCAAAGAGATCCATCTATTAATATCTATCATCCATCTCCCTCATACTGTATTTATAATCTAAAACTTCAGTTATGTTTTACTAATTTTAGATTTATAGATAGATAGTAAAGTGGAGTAAGAAAGTAAAGTAAGATTACAAAGAAAAGGAAATTGAGTAAATGCATTTGTTAAAAGTCAAAGTTTATGTAAAATGACTAAAAACATATTTACATTGTTTAAAAAAAAAGAGAAAAAAAAAGGTTCTTTCAGTTATTGTGAACTGCTTGTGAAAAATGTAATTTCCTGCATATGATGGGTGAAGGTAGCACAGGGTGGGAGAGAAGAGGAAAAGTAAAAAGAGCGCAAAGAGACAGTGTGCGATGACACAGAGCAGGTGGAGAAGTTAGCTTGTTTTCAAGTATTTTCAGTGAGTGAGTTCAGACTTTTCGTCAAGAGAAGTCACAGTTTGTGTCTGTACCCATGTTGGCAAGACACGGTAAAGTTTCAGCGTGAAGCTGCTGGACAGGACAGTGTATTTTGTTTTCTGCTGCTGGTGTAATTATTAAGATGGAGCAAGGCTAACACAGCCATTTGCTAAAAAGGACTACTGTAGACTGCCAACTTTGCCACCAGACTGCTCATGGTTTGTGGGAAATGCAGTAAATCTATTAATCTAGGCCTGATTTGTAAAAGGTGGATGGGCTCTGCCTCAAAAAGGTGGATGGATGGGTTCAGTCATTCAGGAGGGGTTCAGAGTAGAGCTGCTACTCCTCCACATCAAAAGCAGACAGGTAAGGCTGTCATGTCATAGGTAGGACAGGGCATTAAATTTAAATCTAAAATAAATAACGCTATGGAACCCTGAAAATAAAGTCTACATGCCACGCCCCCTTTAGATTCACCCTTTCAGCAAGTTGCCCAATTTAAACATTTCTCCAGTGTCTGTCCTTTGCTATTAAAACACATTAGAAACTATATTCAGTCAAAATTCTGCTAATCTGTCTTTAAGTGCTTCTATGAAGAAGCCCAGGGCTTATCGGAGAATTGCAAAACCAATAACCACGCCCTAAGAATTCCCATTAGGATCTGGCTAATAAGTACAGGTCTATAAGCATCAGTGCTGTTGCAATATTCAGTCTGAACTTGAATCTGTCAAGATAATAAACATACCAGCACAAATACATACAAATCACATGACATCTTTAACAGCAAACAGTTCCAGCTTCTTCTTCAATGACATAAGAAACTCTGTGCTTAAAAACAGGGTAAAGAACAGTGAAGGCTTTTTGATATTACAGTCCACCAACACTCCCCAAACAGACTAAGGAGTTAGTAAACTTTAAAAATCCAAGATTTCCTAAACAGCCAGCTCAGGGAAACCAACACAGCTGTCCTGGTATCCTTGAGAACCTTGTAAGCAGACTATTATGAACTACTCTAACCTGATACTGGGTGTCTTTCACGAAAACCACGATAGCATTGCTTATGCGTTTTATTTTTTCCAGTGACAGGTAACAACTACTGGCAAGTAACAACTACTGGCAAGTAATTCTTTGAAGCTCCACAGCTAAATAGTAGAGCATTCCAGTATTAAGGTAAACTTACCTCACTGCTTATTCCTTCTGACCTCTGTCCATTAAATCGTTGACTTACATTTCAGATCAAGGGTGCACAATCAGAGCTCTTGCAAAAATAATACAAGTTTCGTCGATACTAGAGAATTAAAAAGCTGAATTTTTCAATTCAGAGCTTCATTTACAAATGTTAATTTCATGAATTTCTTAATAAGAGAGGAAAGCCATTTCAACTGGCAATTTTAACTTTAGTTGGAATTCGAAGTTAATTTGTAATGTGTGTACCCTAAGGCCTAAGGCATAAAGCTATATTACATTTGTAACGGTGTCCGCTGTTAAAGCGCCTCGTTATCCAGTGCGTCGTACATTAGCCTAGCTAAAATTACACAGCAAGTTTAGTTAGCTAGTTGCTAGATAATAGACGAATACAGGCTTCTATTTACTGTACATTGACAGATCGGTTTAGCGGCTGTTATAATGACATCTTCTACAAGAATGAACATCAGCTCAAGGGGTAAGCAGTAGCAGGAAAAACAAACACATTCAGCTGCAGGTGAGGACAGCTGAGTGGCTTCACACCGGCTTTATTGTAACAACACACTGCACAGCGAGAATGAGTCGTCCCCGGCTCAAAGAACGCACGCTCAGTGTCATTATCAAAACAATACAATCAAAACAATCTTTTCAGTGATATTTTATCGGTCGAACACAGCGGGAAGCTCAAATTCGCAATAATATGCGAAACAACGGCTGAGGCGAATATTTGGCGAAGCGGAGCGCTGCATTGTCATTTGATAACCGTTGTTATCTATCAAACGCGCACAAACACACTGCGGTTAAAACCACACAAAAACTCTTCTTACTAGAATCTTTCAAGTCTCAGAGCATTAATTACCTTCTTTAAATATGCTGCTTTTATGACTCCGCTGTTTCAACCTGCTCTTCTCAGCCGCCATCTTTCTTAACCCGCAAATATCGGCAGACCGCTCTGACGTCACCGAACTCAGAGCGGCAGTAATGTCCGTGGGGTCCTAAAATACACAACCGGCCTGTTCCTCGTGTAAGTTGGCTTCTGTTCTGCAGCCCTCACTTTCCATGGTTTTATGGCAATATTACTAGGTAAATACCAGAGGTAGGAATTAGACACCTTTGAGAAGGGAAGTGGACTCAACAGTACCTCAAAATTCGGTTTCTTTAAATGGTCAAACAATGCAAACAATTTCCAGTGACAAGATATGCTGTAAACTTTATATTCATTTTTGTTCCAAATGGCACAGTAGCCTCAGAGAAAACAGAACGAGACATCTTCCTCATGTACATACAAGGGAGCTCAGTTTACCATAAATTGTATGGGTGTGCATTTATTTCTGCATATTTAGCAAAAATGTGCCATTTCATGACTCAGTAAGGTGATGGTTAAGCTTCAGCAGCAGTTTGCTCTCAAGGTTCTTTCTGTGAAGCTGTAACTGTTTAGCAGTGAACAGGAGTCCTGCATGACTGAGAAGTCCTTCACAAGCTCCAGATGCAGGAAGAGCTGTATTGATTTTGATCAACAGCTTCTTGATGTGAGGAATGCCATGCAATAGATCCACACCTCCAGTGAATGGACATGAAAGGTACTTCTCCAGCCCTGCTTCTGGCTTTTTTGACCCCATGGATCCATCATCTTAGTCGAATAGGCCGCTGTTTGCCCTAGCATCATCCAGCTCTATGTCTAGGTGATGTCTGATGAAGTTGAGACCTGTGGAAAGATGTATGGTTTTCAAAAGAATTAGG